TAATTTCTTTTTGTCCACAGCGGCATACTGCGCGAAACCTCGTAGATGTGAATATTAGAAAATCGCGAATGAGCATTTAAGTTCCCGAACGTATATGCCGTGACGTGAAATTGTAGAACCTTTCCCGAGTTCGCCGAGTTGATGCGAGAATACTCAATGCTCTCCGTAACGTTCTCCGTTGATTGTAGTGTATGTTAAATTATGAGCCGAGAATAAAAGACCCAAGCATCGTGGGGGTATCACAGATTCCTTTAAATGCGAGTCAGCGATGCACAATTACACATTTGCCAGCTGTCCCAGGATTGGCAGAAGACGAACGTATCTCGTATAAGATTTTAGCCGATAAACACTTTTTGCAAATTGAATTTTAGAGAACTTTACAAATAAATGACAGAGTGTTACTAATTTGTTAAATGGCCAAATTTCAAATGAGCTTTGCTTCGATTACAATTAAAGGTTTAAAAAGAGATATTGATTCTCGTTTCTTTTGCGGGAATTCTGGGACAGGCAGGATATCCGACCAGTTTGAGACTACTGCGTTTAATTAGCGCTTTAATACAACATACATCTCCAGATATATGAAGAGATATTCAATTCGACCTACATATAATGCGGTATAACTCTTAGCGAAGCTAATGAAGATTTGCGTGTATAAAATTCTAATTTCCTTATAACTAAGACTTAGGAAGCAAAGTCGTATTTAACTAATAGCAACGAGGGGACGAGCTTAGGTTTTAGGCGATGTTTATAACTGTAGAACCGTAGAAACGAGTGGAAGAGTTTGAAAGGTAACATAACAGAGCCACTGGTAGCCGGCCTTCCGGCGATGACTGACTGAATGAAGACGATGACTGAGGTAAACGTAAGGCTACGGAAAACATCCGCTGGTCCTCGAAACAGGTGATTACGATCTGACATTTATTTCTCTTTTATAACGCCTCACCATCATCAACGGTCAAGTAAAATAATCACTTTCATCGATACTCTTGGCTTTCCACAATTTTCGAAAAATTTTTTTATGTTTCCCGTCGACATTTTTTTTTTATATATATATTTTTTTTTAGTTATTTTCTTTCTCTAACTCATCATCTGCATTCGTCACATTCTGATTATTATGACGATTATTTTCTTCTTGAAGCAGAAAAAAATCCTTGCATTGCATATATCTCTTGGAACGCAGCTTTCCTTTCAAATCATCTCGTGTCCTCCTCATAAAATAAAAATTTCTATCTTTAAACGAAAAGTTTTGTAAAAGAAAAAAATAATGCGATAAATACCAACTGCTGTCTGGTATTTATCAGATTATTTTTCTTACAAAATATGTACAGTTCATTCCTCACTTTTATCACAAGATTTTTGAGAAATTCTTTGATGTGACAAAGATTTGAGATAATTTAGCTCGATTTCGACATTCTCGTCATCCTTTTTTCGTTCTTCATCAGTCGAAGAACGAAGAACCGACGAGGAGTCTTCAGCAACTAAGTGAGCTAACTTGGTACTAGTCGCCCCGCTAAAATAAATAACTTTGCCCTCATAACAAGCAAAGTTGCATTACGTGTTTGCTTTTTTTTAACATTTGGAGAACACAATTTTGTCACAACACGCGTACAATCCGCGCGGCCAATTTACAAATTCTCACAGATATCACCGACAGCAAATCAGATTGCAGGCATATACTTTTCGCGCGTTCGCTATCTTAGTCACAAGCCACAAACGAGAGCCACGGAGATGAGCGATGATTACCAACGATTTCGGGAAAACGTGAGTCTGTTTCGTTTGAAAAGAGAGAAATAAAGATGTCACATACCCTGCGGCAGCACCTTTTAACTGTCCTCATTTTCTCGTTCGCATCCTGGGAGAACAAGTAGAATCCGGCCGTTCGAGACAACCGGATTTGCAAGCCAGAATGTTAGTACTCTTAGTTCGATCCCTCCCACGAGTACCCGGTGAATACCGGACACTAATCCTGTACGATTCTGTTTCAACAGCTTGGGTGAATATATATGTGGATGGTTGATGTCCGTGAACGTGCCTTCTTGGATGGACAGAAAACGAACGAGCAAGTGTTGGCAAAGTTTTTGAGATGCAAGTGGAAAGACGCGAAAGAGCGAGCGAGCGAGAGCGAAAGAAAGAAAGGTGAAAGGATCTGAAGATGAGAGAGTAAAAGGGGAGAGAGAGAGCGAGAGAGGAGTATATATTTTTGCAGGATAATTTGGTGGGATGATGATGATAATGATGATGATGATGATGATGATGATGCACTGCGCCGAGAGAAGTTGCGCTAGACAAGTGTGGAGCGAGTGCTTTTTGAAAGCGTGGGGGAGTTTTTTCGTAAGCGTGACTGCGAAACACACATAAGTGAACGTCGGGGAACCCCCGCTGAATGGTTTAATGTCTTACTGCGGTTTTGCTTTCAGATTGTAAGAGCGCGACTCGTAATCGGTGATGGTTGATCGCGATTGAGCTGATTAATTCGTCTTCTTGCGAAAGAAGAGACAAATGATGCTTCTGAGACAGATACGGAAAGTTACGTTTGGAAAAGTCTATTTATGTTTTGGAGATGTCCTATTGATTTAGAGATGTAACTGATGACATAAGATGCGACGAAACAATACACGCAAGATTGAAATAATTATTAATGTAATGTCACACAACTTTATCTTATTTTATGTTAAAGTTATTCGATCAGATTTGAATTCGATTCCATTTATTGATAGTAACTATAATGGAAATTTAATTCATTTCGTTATTTATTAAACAGAAAATGCGGTATTATGTATAATGATTCTATTTATTATCATTTAATTTACATATAAATTACTTATGATGAATATTAATGTATTATTGTTTATTTAATGTGCCAATATATATTTGTTATCATTAAATACAAATTGTAATAATTTATAAAAGTTTCTGAAAAGTTAAATATTTTTTTATTGTTTTATTGTGTGAAACTAAACTTTTATTTATTCTTGTTTCAGATTTGACATATTGAACATGTGAAGACTTTCAGGAGGCATAATGAATATTTAATCCCAAGAAAGATCGTATAAATAACATAATATATATCATTGATATTGTATCGGAAATGTTTTAATTTTCTTGAATATTGTATGAATTTTGTATGTATATACATATATATGTATATAAAATGTCAGAATCTTTAAAATCACAACTTTAGCGATTCTAATTTATATCACGTCCCTTACTTAATTATATTTCCATTTTATTTTGTCTATTTTCGAAAATTAAAATTTTTTTTTAAATTTTATCTTTGAAGTTATAACAATTGTTTTTTTTACAGGTATGGTAAATAAATAATGGTAAATTAATGCATATGCTTTAATAAAAAAAGATTTAATAAAGATTAGTTAATAAAGAAAAAATTTCTAAGAATCAATAGAATAAATTGTATATAAAAAAATATATTGATGTCAGTAATTAGGAATTCAGCAAATCAGTTTTTACATACATGATTTTATAATTTTTTCAACATTTGCTAACTATTCAATATGCATCTTAATAAAAAATAGATATATATTGATAAAAATTATTTCTCAATAATCCAGAAATTATCAGCAGAATAAAATCAAATAAATGTTCAGTACGCGTATTTCACTAATGGAACTCTAAATATTGCAATTTTAAAATTTAAAATACTTATCTATCTCCATCGTTCTTGTCAAAATTATTGACAAGACAAATTATGCATATTTTGGAGTTAATTTCCTTTTCTGTTGTCGATAGTGCAGAAATCCGTTTTGCTAAGGGTAATTCCAAATGTATGGAATTTCGACACAAAGTAATATCTCGTACAGGCGAGTCACGGAAGATGGCGTTGCGGCATCTCCGGTCTCTCAGGAGGAGGGAGCAGATCTACCTGCGCTGGTGTGGTGGTGGTGGTGGTGGTGGTGACTCCGACTGAGTCGTGTGTGCGCCAGATCCATCGATTTAACGGGAACACAAAATAAGATGCAACATCGTCTCGCCGTACGTCACGCGTCTACCCGTGTCGTGGAGCTGATGACATCGAGCGCGACCGCGAGCAGAATCGTCGGGTGTTAAGACGTTATGGGAAGATGGTGAGGCAGCTCGGTTACCTCGGCCACTGGGAGCATGGGTTCGCAAACGCTGGAGATCCTGAGACAAGGCATCTGGGCGAGCCTGACGGGCGGCTGGTTTTACGATCCGCATCTCGACGTTTTCTCCAACACGTTCCACCTCTACGTTTGGCTGTTCCTGCTCTGCCTGCCGTTCACGATCTACCTGGTAAAGTGAAAGAGAGAACGAGACACACGCTCCTCTCCGTCCACGCGGCCGTTTATTTTGAGATTCGCTTCGGTTTCCTCTAAGTCGGCTTTCTTCTGCGAGGCTTGTCATAACGAACGACCAGATTCACATCGATCTCCGACAAACGATCCGTCGTGTTTCGTCCTTGGATTCGCGCCACTTTCGAAAGAAATCAAAAGAAACGGCTGCCACATGACCTACAATTATCTAACACGCTCTGATGTTAAAGTCCATTTCCACCAATGTCTTTCAATTTTAGTCTTGATTTTATTTATTCTTTATTTTTTTCTAATTTTCGTAAAACTAAAAATGAATGAAAAATAAGTTAAACTGAGATTAAAGTCATTCCACATTGGTAGAAATGGACATAAATGAAGTTTTTAATGCTCTCATTAACAAAAAATTTCACTGTATTTGTTTTTATGGAAGAGGATAGGTTGATTAAAAAGATCTTACACATTTCAGTATTTTCCTCCGACGTTGTACGTTTGGCTAGCATATTGCTCGTCGTTCATCGCTGTTTTCGGAACGATAAAGTGTATGAATCACGCTCTTCACTGTGTATATGATACCACGGAATGTTTAGAAGAACCCAATCAAACCATCAGTCAGCAAAAGTCAGAAGGGGAGAAGAAATGGGCGAGCCACAACAAATCTAGAGAACAGTCGCAAGATCAAACTGGCCATGGTATAGAGCTGCAAGTTTTGAATGGTACGTTATATAATTTAGTGACAATCACTTTTACTCAGCCATCATATTGACCCTCTATAAAACGATAGCATATGTATATATATGCAAAATAATAAAATAAAATGAATTATTGAAATAAAAAATACTGTTAAATTAATTCTTAAATCTGTTTAAACAGAATTTATTTTATTCAATTTTTCACAAAATATAAATTATTTCTTAAATTATTATACATGATATTGAATTATTTTATTAAGTAAATCAATTTCATTTTTTTTTTTGACAAACTATAATGTATTTACTTTGACACATTTATTTAATTATATATTTATAATACATTTATTCATGATAAAATATATTATTAAATAATTAATAATATATTTAATTAATGAGGTAATTAAATGCCTTGTATAATATTTTATATGATAATATATTTCATGAAAAATAATTGAATACTTCATCTCTCTTTCTTGTTTTTAGGTAAAACAGACACACCACCTGTAGAATGTTCATCGCGTAACTCATTCATTGAGCCAAATATACAAAATTCTGATGCGGATAGTATAACATCTGAATACACTCGGGATAAAGCTAGTTCGACTATAGATTTAAAAGTGGAGATACATAGGAAAAATAGTTCGGAAAGTTCAGAAGAGGCGCAGCAGCTTAGCAAACCAATAGTAACCAGCATTAACGTACACGAAGCTGAATTAGTTTCTGCACAGTATCACGAACCACGTTTTAAAAACATTATAAATGGTAATTTAATGCTCGATTATACCTAATAATATATGAGAAGATTAATATGAGAATAGTATTAGTCATATTAGTCATATTAGTATAAGAATAGTGTATAAGAAGATTAGAAATATAATTACACGTTTATATGTATGCGTGTAGAATGGAAATTAAAGCGGCAAAAGTGCGTAGTAATAGCAGAAGAAGATCGACCGAGATCGCGTAAATTATGCCGGCATGCATCCGAAGATTCTAGAAATCAATACTCGAAACAGAGTAATCTCGGTAAAACGGGGTCCGAGAGCCAGATAAAGCAGACCAGCTCATTGGAATTGGAGCATTCCCATAGAGGTGACAATTATCCATATTGGAAGTCCAATCAAAGTGTCCGCAGACTCAATTCCAATTCCATACCGATGGAAACACACTTGATGAATGATCATCCGCAGAGCTTAGAAATCATATCACAGAAAGGAGATGCAGATAACAATAAGATCTCGTCTCACCCGCAATCGTTAGAGGTAAATTTGATTTGTTGTAAATCTTGCATTCAAATAATTGAATATAAATATAGTTGCAATCTTAAATTGTTTTGCCTTGTTTTCAGTAAAATACAAAATTAGAAACTGTATTTTTAATTTCTAGGTTATTACTAAAAAACCGCATCAGCAATTGGTACATCCGCAAAGTCTCGAAACAATTGGTGCTACTAGTAAAAACATAAGCAGCACCGATGACAATAACCTGCCTCTTCATCCTCAGAGTCTTGAAACAATTAATACTAAAAAGGTATGAATAAATTTCATTTATTTTTATGAAATTTTATTTTTAAAAAATTTAGGGTTTTATGAAATTTTTTTACAAATATTATCTTACGAGAGAGATGCGCAAGTTCATAATTTTTAAATAAAAATGAATATTGAAGGTTTTACCGCAAAACACACTGAAGAGGAATCAACTACAGCTCTTACCGTATCTCAGTTATGGATCCGAGATAGTTTATCCGATAGCTGAGCAAAGCGACGAGCAATTTGCTAATGAAAGTTCAGGAGGGTTTAGTTTACGTGATTCCTACAGCCCGTTATTGACGCGTAAAAACATAAATGACGCGAGCGCTACGTCTAATCGAGATAGAAGCCTCAGTGCTGGCAGGTTTGAAGATAGATTTTCGAGGTAATAATGCATATTATTAAAAATAATGTCAATACACTCTTTAATATATCAATGTGATCTTATTGATATCACTGTTATTTTTCAGGTTTAACGACGACAACGGAATAGATAATAATTCGGCAAATTCTCGAGATGCTTTACTGGAGGAATCCAAATCTAGAGGCGTGAAAAGGAGATACAGCAACGCCAATCAGAGTAACCATGAGTTTTCAGATGGAGAGAAAAGTAAAGAGAAACGGCAGGATAAATCTAAAAACATAGTAACGGAAGATCCACTCAATTCAGGGAGCATAGTCGGAATAGACTGGCTGTTTGAAAGCGGGGATTGTTCGGTGGAACCGTGGGCAAGTAAGAGTAAGTTCAACGAGAAAGCGTTATGATTGTTTTTAGGTAAAAAGTGATCTGGTCCAATTATTTTTCGCTGTATGCAAGCTTATATTACGTTTTTCTAATTCGTGCTGCCAGTATTTTGGACTTTCACTCGCTCTGATGATACGGATACATCAGAAAGCCTACAGACGGCTAGTACAGATTGTAAGTTGGACGCACTATAGAGTTTAGGGTCTACAGTCGCGTTCGGGAAGATCGCTATCAACTTAAAGAATATTTTAATACGACATTCGATAGGTAGATGAGCATATCGCACATTTAGCGCTTCATTCGGCTTTGCGCATGATTCTCAATTCACAATAAAATCGAATCTTGCATCTTCACAAATAAAATTCAAAGGCGATCGATGTTTCGGTGTTAATTATAAACTGTTTCTTGATGATGAAAGAAAATAAATACCATCGTGTACTAATTTGCGTAGATCTGCACTCTAAAGAGCCTGATTCGGGATCATCCAGTACAACGACCCTCAGCATCGAGAACGAGGTGAAACGGAAATTGTTGCCGCAACTGGAGGTGGACAGCACCGCCAAACGTCACCAGGGAGCGATCCCCAAGCAAAGCCGTCCAAAACTCACCGCGTCGGATGCCGCGGACGATAATATCGTGTCGGGCGTCGAACAGCCACGGGAGAATCTTAAACGTTATCTCGAGGTGCGACGGGAGAGAGCTAGGAGACGAGGTGCCAAGTTGGAACAGACGAGCGGCTCGAATAACGAGTTAAGTACGTTGCTGCCGAGTCCGGCGTCACCGTTACTGGCTGCATTACTAAATAATTCCGGCCGGGATCTGCCTGGCCAGTCGAACACCACGTCGTCCGATTTGCGACTCAGTCGTAATACCGAGAAGCGACAATTTCGAACTAGATATGGACGATTGAAGCGGACGACCAGAGGTCACCGTGCGAGATCGCGCAACATCGCCAGCAATCGCGACGATAATGTCGTGCCGTTAACTGCATTGTTCGGTCTGATCTCGAGCGGTGAGTGTCACCTAGCCACTAATCAGAACGATACCTCAGAGGGAGCGGTGCACTATTTTCGCGACGATAACGGTCACTGGCTGGCTTACACGTTTGATGAGAAAGGTTCAGACGTAGCCGCTGCTGCCGCGGCAGCGACAACAACACAAACACCTACTAATCCGCACAATGAAAAACTGCTGAATATGTTATTGCGTCAGCAACTCACACAAAATATACACTACGATGCGAACTGGGAACTCGCGGATTCATTGAGCAATAGTTACAGCAGCCTGTCGCTCAATTCCGCTGGTCTGACAGTGATAATCGATACGCCGCCGGTGCTGTCAAGTCCAGCGAGCAATCAGACCAAGACGCAGAGCTCACCGCCATCGAATTTGGTCTCCTCGAATACTGGCAGCTCGAATCAGTGCACGCTCGGTGAGAATTCCGAGCGTGAGCCATTTCATCATACCTTAATCACACGCTCGGATTCGATGGCCGACAGGAATCGCAGATTACAGAATCTATTGGGTAATCTGAATCTAAATCAATATCAATCGGACCTCAACAGCCGCATGCCTGTGTTGACTTTACCCACGCATCAGGAACCTGACATAAACACCAGTTTATCGTGGAACCGTTTCGTCGACGGCCTGGATGGCTCCGACTCCAAGCCGAAACAAACTAGACATTACTACAAGTGGAAGATCGGCAGACTGCCACACATCAAAGTGCGCTTCGATCGTCTCGCTCTGCTGGCTCTACTCGATCGCAACTTGACTGTGTTCGAGACCATCATCTCCACGTTGCTAGCGGGTACAGTCGCGGGTTTAGGTCTTCTGCTACTTCAACAAGGTTTCTATCGGGATATTTTCGCGTTCATATTTTGTTTCGTGACGGCTGGCTGTCAGTACTCATTACTCAAATCAGTCCAGCCCGATGCCGCATCGCCCACACACGGTTTCAATCGTATCATAGTGTTTTCCAGACCCGCGTACTACATCCTGTGCTCGAGTCTGATTCTGATTTTCAACGAGACGCTTAGGAACTTTAAATCGTCGGATTTTCGGGTGTACGGATTGCGCGTCGCCGATTACGATCTCATATTGCAAGTGCGAAACGTTCTATTAATATTCCTGCTGTGCTTCCCAATCGTATTCTCGCTAGGACTTTTCCCGCAGATCAATACGTTTCTCATGTACGTCTGTGAACACCTGGACATTCACCTATTCGGCGGTAACGCGACTACCAGTCTGGTATCCTCACTTTACTGCTTGTGCCGCAGCGTGGTCGCTGTTCTTATCCTCTACGGATTTGCTTACGGTGCCCTTCTCGAGCCCAAATCTTCGCAGCACATTCTGTTCTCCATATTCGTCGGCCTACTCGTCGCGATATCCTACCATCTAAGCCGATTGTCTTCAGATCCCACTGTAATATGGGACATCCTCAAGGCGAATCTGTGGCCGCCGGAGATAGGGGACAGATATGCAGAAGAGAAAGAAGCTAAAATCATCGAGAACACGTCATCGTCACAGCCCGACAACGTAGCCGCGACTTATAAGGAGGCTAAGAGCAAAACGTCCGGCAGGAAGAAGGACGTGAAGATCAAAGTGGGCGAGCAAATGTCAGATACCGAACTGGTGGATCCCTTGCCGGAGAAACTACGCTCAACGGTGAACTCCAGACTAAAGAACGATCTCATCGTGTGCGCGGTAATTGGTACCCTGTCCTTTGGGATTCACCGTACGACGGTGTTCACTGCTTTGCAACCGGAGCTCAATCCGGTGCTGTGGAGTATCGTGAGCTGCCTGGGCTTTCTCCTGCACTACATCGTGCCGCAGTTACGCAAGCAGCTACCGTGGCTATGTCTTTCAAGACCGGTGTTACGTAGTCATGAACACGCGCAATTCGAGGTACGCGAGCCGGTGAAGATCATGTGGTTCGAGAAGGCCTACGTATGTCTGTGCTTTCTTGAGCGAAACGTGCTCTATCCGGTCGTCTTTCTCGGCGCGCTCACCGAGTGCTCGTCGAAGATCGCCAACAAGTTCGGCGAGAGCATAGGCGCGCTCATCGTCGTCGTGTGCGGTCTTAAATCGCTCAGGTCGGCGTACTCAGACCCGTCCACCCGCTACCTCGTCCTCATCTTCGCAGTGCTCTTCTTTCAACTGGACTTCAGCAACTTGAGTGAAACCTTTCTGATGGACTACTTTGTCACAGGAATCGCGTTCGCCAAGATCTACGAGTTGCTACTCAAGATCCGTTTTGTCGTCACGTATATCGCGCCCTGGCAGATCACCTGGGGTAGCGCGTTCCACGCGTTCGCCCAACCCTTCTCCGTGCCGCATTCGGCAATGCTCTTTCTTCAGGCCGGCATCTCGGCGATGCTCAGCACACCCCTGAATCCGCTGCTGGGCAGTGCGATCTTCATTTCATCCTACGTGCGACCCGTCAAGTTCTGGGAAAGAGACTACAAGACCAGGAGGGTGGACCATTCGAACACGCGTATGTCCTCGCATCTGGAGCGCAATCTGGGCGCTGATGATAACAACCTGAATTCGATATTTTACGAGCAACTCACGCGTTCCCTCCAGCACAGTCTGTGTGGCGATCTCGCGCTTGGCCGTTGGGGAAACGTGGAGCAGGGTGATTGTTTTCTGCTCGCATCCGATTATTTGAACTGTCTGGTACACATAGTCCAATTGGGAAACGGACTGGTGACATTCCAGTTGAGAGGTCTCGAATTCCGAGGGACATATTGCCAGCAAAGAGAGGTGCATAGAAAATTATAGTGTGACTGTTTTGTTTTTTTTTTTTTTTTCCTATTATACCTTGAAGCTAATTACTTCTTTACACATCCTTTCAGGTGGAAGCGATCTCGGAAGGTATCGAGGATAATGACAATTGCTGCTGCTGTGAAATGGGTCATCTGTCGAACGTACTTAGCGTGAATGCGGCCTTCAGTCAACGCTGGCTCGCCTGGGAAGTCGCGAGCGCGAAATACGTGCTCGAGGGTTACTCGATCTCCGACAACTCGGCGGGTTCTATGCTGCAAGTGTTCGAGTTTCGCAAAGTGCTGGTTACTTACTACGTCAAGAGTATCGTCTTTTATGCCGTAAAATCGTCAAAATTGAAGCAATGGTTGGAGAATTCGGACATCATGGATGCGCTCAAACCGACACTCGACAAGAACTTTGTTGATCTCGATCCGGTCTTCAACGTGAATATCGACGAAGACTTTGATTTCCGTGCAAGCGGTATCACGCGAAATAGCTTCTGCAATATTTATCTCGACTGGATACAATATTGCGCTAGTAAACAAGATAAGGTGATACATTGATTACATTTGCATTATTTCGTCGCCTTAATACTACAATAACGCAATTCTTAGTTTGACAACTTTGTCGTTATCTGCACGTACATCAGTATTAAATTGAAGAATAAATACGTTTGAATTACGTCGAATACAATTCTTTTTACTACAAGTAGATAAGTGAAAAGTTTGAATCTCAGTTGAAATTAAAGGATATAATTATTTTATTCAGCTACAAGAAAGGTATATTAATTTTAATAAAGGTTATTTAATTTAATAAAGTAAAACTATATAAAATTGGAGTAATAAGGTGACGATTTGTATATAATTCGCAGTTTTTCCGAAAATGATTTCAGCATATTATCTTTTCTAGTCGTTGGATAGAACGCGCGATTCGTATCTCGTGTCACTGTGTCTTTCATTAAGTCTGCTGGGAAGACGTGTGTTAGGTGCTGCGTCTCATAACACGTTATCAGGCGTTGAATTTTTTCTCTATGGATTACACGCTTTATTTAAAGGTACAATCTTATAGTAATTATTAATATTTAATAATTTTGTAGAGAAATTATAATAATATTATATTTGATAACAGGAGATTTTCGAATAACATCAGTCCGTGACGAATGGGTGCTGCACGATGTCGATTTATTACGTAGCGTAGTTGCAAAGGGTATAAGGATGGCCTTGAAATTACATCAAGATCATTTTATGAGTCCAGAACAATACATCGAATCACCAGCACTTTTCGAAGCTATCGACAATCATGATCAGAATCTCGTTATTAGTCACGAAGCGGATCCACTTTGGAGAAACGCTGTTTTGAGCGGTGCACCCAGTCTATTGGCACTAAGGTTTGTATTTTGCAAATGGAAATTAATGGAAGCGCTGCATAGCAATTAAGAAAGTTTGAAATTTTCAGACATGTACTTGACGACGGTATAGACGAGTATAAAGTAATAATGCTCAACAAACGTTACTTGAGCTTTCGAGTGATCAAGATGAATCGTGAATGTGTCCGTGGACTCTGGGCTGGCCAGCAGCAGGAGCTGGTATATCTGAGGAACAGAAATCCAGAGCGTGGCTCGATACAGAACGCCAAGCAGGCTCTGAGAAACATAATCAATAGCTCCTGTGATCAGCCAATTGGATATCCGATTTATGTCTCTCCATTGACGACCAGTTATGCCGAGACTAATGAACAATTGTGTTCGATAATCGGAGGACCGTTGACTTTCGGCACCATAAAGAGCACTGTATTGAAATTGTGGAGAAGGTGCGTGCTACGAACGAAAATGATTTTTTAATCTCATCTACGATTCAAGTTTAGTTTTTGCAACAGTATAGTAAATATCGTCTTTGAATCTAACAATTCAATTTTCATTTCCAGAATAAGAAGAAGATGTGGTCAAGGTTGCTCCTCGGGCGGTACTGGTTCCCAAGATGACGGAGGCTTTGGAAATGACGGAGTATACGCAATGACCACTTACAACATACACTCTGGTATTTGCAAATATTATTTGTTTGCAATAATTCTTATTTGATTAGATTATTAAATAAAATATAGGATTAAAAATCTATAACCATTTAAAAAAAATTAAATTTATAATAAATTGAGAGATGGAGGATTATAAGTAGATTTGTATATTTCGCACGACATCTTTTCTCTAAATACGGAATAAACTTCAAATTAACTTGGATAAAAGTTTGGCCATTATTTCTCTCTAAACTTTTTAGAATTTTTTTTCTCTGATCATCTGATTATTTAAACAATGTAATAAATTAATTTTTCTGATAATATATTAATATATATTTTATCTACATATAAAGTAATTTATGAATTCAGGCTATACTCAATCGGGTCACAACACCTCCGGTTCTCAATCAATGGAGTCTGGCTGTCAAATCGGTGGTTCGACTGGTCGAGGTTCTCTCGGTCGTACAAATACGGGTTCTTTAGGTGGTAACAGAGGCTCACTGGCCTCCGTTGGAAAGCCAACCAGCTCGACACTCGCCAGTTTGGCCGGATTGCTCAGTAGTAATGATATCAAAATGGAAACAAAGAGCGAGACAAGTTTCTCTAGCAAGCTAGAGAAAGAAGAGGTTTTCCAAAGAGTTCGCGTAAGTATCATAGAATCGCGGAATATATCTGAAAATTATTTTCATTCCAATTAATCATCAAATAAAAAAAAGAAATAAACTGTGCTTTATTAAAATTCAATTGTTAGTTTCAATATTTCTTTATATTATTAATTGCTACAAATTGTTTGATTTAATATTGAATGTTCAAGACATGAAAAAGATATTGAAAATGCTTTTCTCCATACACATGAATTATTAATTATTAAACGCTTTTTCTTAAACATAGATTATGGACCCTAATCAAGTTTACGATGCGATCAATTTGGGTCGACGTATAGACGTGATTTGGCCAGACGAAAGGATGCGACAGCAAGGCGGTCGTTCCGGCTGGCAACATTGGGTACCGGAGAGAGGTATGGAGGGCTGTGTGGTTCACCGTTGGTCGCCGAATCATCGCGATCCCAATCGACGGTCGCACGTCGATAAAGTCATCTTGCTTGTAAAGATCGAGGACAAATATGTGCCGGTAGCCGAGCAAGGCGTGCGAGATTTGGGAGCAGAAGTTTAGCATAGTATTTCCGAAACCGACACGATAACAGTTGTCGTTTTTATACCCTCGTTTTGTCGATCTGCAGACTTGGAATAGCGCATACGCGTCGACTAGAGTAAAGTTCAGCAGTGATCAGACTCTCGCTCGAGCGTGCCTGACACTAATGAGACATGAAAGTGCGAGAATTAATCTCTAACAGATGTATACTGACGATGTATACTAGTTACCTACTTCCACGAAGTCAATACTCGCCATTAGAACGTAAATTGAAGGACACGGATCAACGACATGCTCAATCATGTGAGACTCTTAACTTATCGATTAACAAATTTCATTAGTCGCAACATCATCTAGCATCTTCTTTTTTTCTTTTGATTTTCAAGGTTCACAATATTTTTTACTCGCTTCAGTAGGATTGCTCATGAAATTTGCTCCGTGTCTTAGCATGTTGTCGCAAATCCTTCCGATTGCATCTCATTTTTGTTGATATTGTACTTAGAAATATATAATTCGATAATATTCCTTAGATCCTCAGATTTAACTCCATTCTTAATTGTCATTGAATCGCTAGAGTTTTGCTTCATAAGGGTAACTTTCGACCTGACACGTAGATACGTTGCAAGAATTATAAAGATTGTACAGAGAGAGAAATATAAGAATATTTTGTCACCTTGTAAGATAATCGTAGATACATATATTGTTATTTCGCGCATAAGATAAAACGCCAATCGCCAAGTTATTCAATGCAAACCGAATTGTACCATGTTGTACCATACATACTGTGTATATTATAATATGATGATATACTAGTTTGTTCACTCTCGGAACAGAGCAGATATTATACTTGTTGCCCAATAATATCTAGATTATTTACTATCGGTTAATAGAGAAAAGGTAGCGTCTGGGCGCGTTCCTCTTCCACTAATCTATAATGTAAATGCGGTATATATTTTTGGCGGTTGATGAAAAGAAAAGAGAATTTTACCCGCAGAGTAGAAGTGTACTATTTACGCATATATATAATAATGTATCATAAATAAGAGAAAGTCTCTTTAAACGTGCTGTTTTGTTGTGAAGCTCACAGCAAAATGTCGGGTGTGACACCAAGCGGCATCGGTAGGATATTTGTATATAAAAAAAATATCATTCGTGTTTTTCTACATTTTGTTACGATTCTCTTTTTTAAAAGTATAAGCGGTGTAGATAAATTATAAATATATATATATATATATATATATATATATGTATATATATATGTATATATACGCGTCGTGCGACACATGCAGACCTCGAAGCGTCCAGGATCTATTCTACTTGAGCGTATAATTTTGGCGGCTACGCGAAAAGTCGCTCCGGCAGAACATATCCACATGCACTGAAGATAGCGGTGTCATTTTATTCACTTTCACGCCCATGTACAAAAGCTAGTTAGAACTTATGCATTACTTAATTGTACACGAGCTGTTAGACTCGTTAGTCAACAGTGCATTTACATTTGATGAACATCTCGTCGGACGAGGGTATCAGGTGTGAATGCATTGACGTGAATGCTCCATCGGGCAATGAAATCTATAATGTTATTCTAATGACAATGTTATAAATTGTTTTCGTTTTTTTTTTCTAATTTTGTATATAATCTGTAAATCAACTTCTGCTTCACTTGTTTTCGCTATAAATGTTATAAACGAATATGGAGACGTAGATACTGGTTATTTAAATAATAAGGAACGCAGGGTTGCTTGCAAAAATTATTACATAAATTATTATTGCATAAATACACATTTAGCCTGTTCGCGTCCGTTATCACGTAACAGATGAAATATACGTATGTATATATACATACATACATACATACATACATACATACATACATACATACATACATACATACATACATACATACATACATACATACATACATACATACATACATACATACATACATACATACATACATACATACATACATACATACATACATACATATATATATATATATATATATATATATATACTAGTACT